CCGAGCGGGCGGGCTGCGCCGGGAGCCGCTGGCCCGTCCCCCCCCCCCTGGCCGCGCCCGCCCCCCGCGAGCATGGGCGCCCACCCGCGCGCTGCCGTGGTCGCGGGGCTCCCGCCGCCCCGAGCGCTGCCGCTGCCTCTGCTCCTGCTCCTGCTGCTATCGCCGCCAGGTACGGGCGCGGGGCCGGAGGGGGGGACGGGAGGGAGGGCAGAGAAGGGGCGCAGGCCGGGCGGTGCGGGGTCGGGGAGGCCCGTCTCCCCTCCGGCCACCCCTCCCCGGGTCTTCTGGGTGCGAGCCGGGAGGGCCGTCGGTTCCGCTGTCTGCATCCCGCCCACCCCCTCGTCCTATGAATAGATGGCGAAACTGAGGCCGGAGAGGGCTGAAGACTGGGCGGGTGTCACCGCCGGGAGAGGGGCGTCGCTTCGCGGCTGGGGGGCCGGCGCGCCCGCCTCTCCGCGCTCCCGGCGGCGCCTCCCTCCGGGTGTCGGGTCTCGGAGAGGGGCGCGTCCCGGACGAGCCTGCCCTGACCCTGCCAGAAGGCCTGCTGGCGGTCTGGGAGGGCGGCAGACACCGAGGGGCCCGGGATTTGGCTGCAAGGGGAGCCTGTCGGGAGAGCGCGGTTTCTGACCCCTGGACGCTGAGGACCCCACCACCGCTCACGCAGCTTCTGCCTGTGGCCTCTCCCGGGTGTGGGAGGGGGGAGCGGGCAAGACCCCATTTCTTTTTTTTTTTTTTTTTCCAACGTTTGTTTATTTTTGGGACAGAGAGAGACAGAGCATGAGCGGGGGAGGGGCAGAGAGAGAGGGAGACACAGAATCGGAAACAGGCTCCAGGCTCTGAGCCATCAGCCCAGAGCCCGACGCGGGGCTCGAACTCACGGACCGCGAGATCGTGACCTGGCTGAAGTCGGACGCTTAACCGACTGCACCACCAGGCGCCCCAAGACCCCATTTCAAGATTAACCCGACTTCCCTGAGGATTCCCCCCACCCCCCCCCCCCCCCCGCCCCGCCCCAGTTTATCCTCAGTTCTGTAACTGGGAAGGCACACAGCTGACTCACGTGGCCTGGGGTGTGGCTAATGAACAAAGGGGGTCCCCAAGGTTTCAGAGAGGTAAGGTCTTTGATCAGGCTGTAAAGACACACTCAGCAGGAACCACGGGTCTCAGTTCAAGATCATGGGAGCCATGTAGACACCCAGTTTCTCAGAGCGTTGGTGGCCAAACGTCCATGGGGTCCCAGGCAGATGAAGGAGAGCCCCAGACCTGGGCTGCAGAGCATCTGGCCCTGGGTGACCCTGGGCGGCCCTGGCGCGCAGAGTGGACTGGCCATCTCTCCATCATGGAGGTAGCAAGTGGCCGGGCCTAAGCTGGCTGCGTTTGCATCCCACCATGCCCGTAGTGACGTTGAAGGTAAGGGTGGTGCTGGAGCTCTTACGGGGTGCTAGCACTGAGAACTTCACTTAGAACAACCCTGTGAGGTGGATGCGTTTTTCTAGGCAAAGACAGTGAGGCTCAGAGAGGTTAAACCCCTTGCCTGAGCTCACACAGCTTTCAAGTAGTTTGGCAGGATTTGCACCAGATCTTTCCAAATTCCAGCCCAGGCTTGTGACCACAGTTTCTCCCTGGAGGAGTGTGACCTCATGTGTCTTTTGGCCTCAGTTTCCCAGCCCGTAACTTGAGGGAGTGGGGCTCATCTGGGAGTCCGGAGCTCCACAGAGTACCCCCAGCACGTGGTAAGCAGGCTATAGGTGGGTGGTGTCCCCGGTGAGGGGAAAAGTGACCATTACTTCCTGCAGTGGCCATCGCCTCCGAGGCTGAGCACCGTCTGTTTGAGAGGCTGTTCGAAGATTACAACGAGATCATCCGACCTGTAGCCAATGTGTCTGACCCCGTCATCATCCAGTTTGAGGTGTCCATGTCTCAGCTGGTGAAGGTGGTGAGTGCTGGCACCGCAGGCCATGGCCATGGGGTGCGGGGCTTCTGGAAGAGGCTTCCCCAGAACCAGCCTTCTGTTTGAATTCACTGTGCACTTTTTCTCTCTCCTTCTAGGACGAAGTAAACCAGATCATGGAGACCAACCTGTGGCTCAAACAAGTAAGTGAGCGGACCCTGGGCGCTGCTGCCCCCTGGTGGTGTCTTTTGTATTTGCTGTGCGGGACCCACAAAGAGCCCAAACAGCCAGCTTCACTCTGGTGAACCCAGATTGGGGTGACTGGCTAGTGTGTCTCTTCCTGGGCTTGGAGTCACATGCACTACTCCACGCTCCCCCTGGAAGTCAGCCCCTCAAGTCACAGATGACAGATCGCAGCTTGGAGGGAGAGACCTCCTCAGCAACACAGCAAACTAGGACAGACCTGGGCCTGGAGCACAGCCCCTGACTTTGGGCTGGTGCCTGAGGCCACCTCCTTCCCTTCTTGCCAAAAATTTGCCCTTCAGTTCAAATCAGATGCTGTTGCTTTCTTTGGTAGAGTGGGAGCAGAGGCTCTGGATTTTCCTGTTCAGATTGAGGCCAAAGAAACAGGCTTCCACATGCCCCCCCCACCCCCCCACCCAGGGAGACTTTGCCCAGATCTAGGCAGATACCTCCCTGGACCAGTGTGACCCTTCGCTAGCCCACACAGCCTTTCCACACCCAGAAGGCTGGAAAGCCAGGAGGGCACAGTGCCCATTCAGCACTCTGTCCACAGGCTCACCTGTCTCTCCTCCCATCTCCCAGCCTCTATTCCCACACACTTCTCAGGCCCCGGTGGGACCATGGCTCCTTCCCCAGAACCCTTCAGACACCAGCCCCGCTTAACCTGGAGGTGGAAGAGGGCTGTGTCATTAGCTCCCTGCTCCTGCCAGTGGGAAACACGTCTGAAAAAGCTCCCAGAGAGCTGTTCCAGGGACGTAAATGGCAGGTGCTTACAGCATGCACCTGGCCAGCACCAGCACTGACTGGAGGAAGCACTAGTGACCCTCACTGGTTGGTGAGGGGCTGGGCTTGCCCAGCCACGGAGGCAGTGTCTCCGGGTAGCCGGGAAGCAGCTTGCACACCCAGCCCAGTGCCATCTCCCCCACAGGCGCCCACGTGAGAAGTGGGGCTCCTGGGGTCTGCAGCGTGGAGGTGGGGGCTTCCCCAGAACAGCTGGTTTCCAGGAAGGGGACCGTGCTGTCCTTCCGCTGCCGCCTCCTCTCTCCCTGCCTGCTCCCCACAGATTTGGAATGACTACAAACTGAAGTGGGACCCCTCTGAGTATGATGGGGCGGAGTTCATGCGTGTCCCTGCACAGAAGATCTGGAAGCCGGACATTGTGCTGTATAACAAGTAAGGGACTGCCTGGCCTTCCTGGGACCTTTCCCAAGAGGGCTTCATTGAGATGTTAATCCCACAGGTGTTTACTGAGCACCTGCTATGGGCCAGATGCCCGAGAGAGCCACCCTGACTCCAGGACTTTACCACACACCAGGGGACAGGCATGAACTGTGATATCCAAATGTGCAGTAACAGACCGGATAGGGGGGTGGGGGGAGGAAGGGCGGTCTGCTGCCAGGGCCCTCACTGGCACTTGCCCTTCCCTGTAGGTCAGGACCACGGACCACTTGGTTCCTCTGCCCTCGGTGACTGAGCCCGCAGTTTCAGGAAGCCTCTCCGCTGTATCTCACAGCGTCTTCCTCTGCCAGGCTCAGCTGCCCATCATGGCACCTCCTAAACTGGCCTCTTTCCACATTTAAGCGTTGTTATTCAACAAACATAAAATTTAATGGATGTTTTACACTATGTACTAGTTTGTTCTCTGGGTATTGAAAAACATCATTTTTATACCTGTGCTTTATCTCTAAGGTTATGTTTTAACCATTAAGCATTTATCAGCAGAGCACTTCCTATAGAACTAATCTGATTTTAACGACTGAAAGCATTTCCGTGTTTAGGTTTTTATGCCATATTAGTACAAACTCATATGCTTTAACTATTAGGACTGCAGAAGCTATGTTTTTGGCTGAGTCCCACTTTCTGGTCACTGACTAAAAGAAGGGTCTTTAGCCACTCCACAGATGGGCCGTGTTTTATTTATTGGCTTTCCAAGGAAATACATCATTCATAAATGTTTCTTTCAGACAACTTGTATTTGTAAATTTAGTCCTCACAGAACTGGGACAAGGTAAACTCAAGTGGTTTGCAAAACATGAGCAGTCTTACCAGTCTTCTGATCCACAGGCTCTTAGGGAACTGGGCAGAGTGTTGAGAATTTTAGCTAAGCTAGAATTAAGAAAATGTGCAAAAATTTTAATGTCATGATTTGAATTTTTTTTTTCAACGTTTATTTATTTTTGAGACAGAGAGAGACAGAACATGAACAGGGGAGGGGCAGAGAGAGAGGGAGACACAGAATCGGAAGCAGGCTCCAGGCTCTGAGCCATCAGCCCAGAGCCCGACGCGGGGCTCGAACTCACGGACCGCGAGATCGTGACCTGAGCTGAAGTCGGATGCCTAACCGACTGAGCCACCCAGGCGCCCCGTGTCATGATTTGAATTTTCTAGCCGGCAATCTTGAGTGAACAGCTGGAGGACTTTAGGCTGTGAGTTTAACGGTGCTGCGTCACAGTGAAATGATTCAAATTGAGTGTGGTGAGGAGCAAATATCATAAGGAATTTCCTTTGAGTCTGAAACTGAAGATAGGTTGTAAAGAAAGTCACCCAACCCCTCCAAGTTAGAAGTCGTTTCTCGGGACTGATCCTCCGTTGAGAGTCTCTTCATGTTGACAGGAGAAACACCTTTTACGTCCTCGTGCCAAAGCTTCCCCTATGGTTTGTTTTCTCAAGTTCATTCTCTACCAGGATCCTCAGCAAGTGCTCATGGGCACAAGATGCCTTATGTTCTTACATGTTTATAATTCACTGCAGCCTTTTTAGAGAATATGTTCAGGTTACTTAGCTGGATAGAGAAACTCCTTGGCTGAAATCTTCCTTCGTGAAAATCTTCTAAAAATGCCGACTGCTCCAGCATGAAGTGTCGCTGTCAAAATCTGATGCCAGTCAAATTGGGTGGCATTGGAAGACAAGGGGGACTCTGCCGATCAGCCTGTGGGGACCACAAAGTGAACCAGCTCTGTCCTGGGCGAACCGGGAGGCACAGTCCTGGCAGGGGGTGTTCTTTCAGCTCAGGCACCCAAAGGCTTCTTCCTTCATCTGGAGAGTCAGCTGTTTGACTCTGTGCCACAGATGTGACGCGTCTTTACTCCAGGAAAGCTGGTTTCAAGTTCTGGGTCTTAGGATTTGTTCTTTTGCTTTGGCTTCTCTCTCCAGGAACTCCATCTTCGTGTACGTCAGAACTTCACCTACATTCTCTGTTCTTCTTGCTCAAGTTCTTGTTTCTGTTTGATGTGAAACTTGCCCTCTCTCTCTCTCTGGTTTCATTCCTGTGACTGTGCTTTCTCTGGCACCTTGTTTCTTTTAGCCGTTGCTTCTAAGATGGTTTTTGACTCTTTCCTAAGGTGTCGGCTCTTGATACACCTGCTGTTGTCTGGCCAGGTTATTTAACATTTTCTGATTATGCTGCTCCTTCATGGCTTCCAGAGATCACTTAGCACTTCTTAATCTGTAAGCCCAGGTAGGTTGTCACTGTCACCTGTTCTGGGCCTGTCCTGTTGGGGTATGGCTTCTCTGCTTGTGATTCAGATACTCATCTTCACCCATTTCTTACAATACAATCTAATCCTTTTCCACTGCTCTTGTTGAAATAGGTGGCCTTTGCTAAACGTTTAGGACAGGCTCCCAGAGGGAACAGGGTGGGTGGGGGGTCTCTTTTCATCAGCTTGAGGGCCCCTGGGAAGGCAGGCTTCTGGGCCTGAGCCCAGCCGCTGCTGGATGCCTGCTTCTCCAGCTTGTAACCCATATTTCTCTTCTCAGCCTGTTTCTGACCTGGTTTCACTTGGGTCCTACCCTAAGCAGCGTTTTTCTGGGCGGGTCTCAGTCCTTCCAGAAGGGAGTCTGGGCGGGGCGGGGGGGAACCCTCGAGCCCACACCAGCCCCCGAAGGCCTTCCCTGCAGACCGCCAGTGGGCCCCACCACCTTTTTGGTTCCCTCCCCGAAACTGGAAGCTGTAAGGCCTGTGTTTCACTGTTCCCCTTGCTGAGGAGTCAACGCAGACTGAGGTCCTCTTTTCTGAGGGACAGATGCTTCTTGGTGGCTTCTGTGCCTGGGGCTCTTTCCCTGGCGGCCACCACCTCCAGCTGATCCTGCATGGTCCAGGCAGGCTGCCCTGGGGTTGCTCACTGGACCCCACCTGCTCGTGGGAGGCTGCATGTAACCTGACTGTGATGACATGGTCACAGGCTTTTCTTTGCTGGGAACTTGGAGAATGTTCACACCAGTCACCACCCTTGCCTCCCCCGAAGCTCAGTCTCCCTTAGAACGAGCCCTCAGCCGGTTGTGTGCACCCTCCTGGGCATCTCTTTTTTGACAGCCTCGCACATGGGCTCCTGGACCCCTCCCACCCCCGCTGGCTCTTACTGCCGACCATCCCCTGGACACCCCAAGGGCAAGACCATGGGTTTTCTGGTCATTCTTTTTAGTCCACGAGACCCACCAGGTGCCCTGTCTGTGGCTGAGGCTGTGCCGCACCCCAGGGCCCAGCGGGGTCTTGGCCTTGCCCGTCTACCAGTGGCAGAGAGCAGAGGCCCTGCGCTCTGACCTTTTGATCCCTGGTCAGTAAAGCGAGGGGCTGGACTAAGGCAGGTGCCAGCGTGGGGCTCCTGTGAAGGACTGGGTCAGGGTTTTACATCTGTGGGCCGGCCTCTGCCTCTGAAAGCAGCCTCCCTGTAAATGTCGTCACAGAAGGGGCAGGCCTGCGGGCCGCACTAAGAGGTCTCCTCTGTCCTGACGTTTTGTTGACCCAGGACACTGTCTTCCAAGGCAGTGAGGGCTGTGTGGGCCCTCCCCGCACCCCTCCCCTTACCTGTGAGGACGGAGGGCACAGCAGGACTGTTGTGAGGACCGAACACGAACAAAGCCAGCAGGGCCCCTCTGGACAAACCGGCCGACCAGACGAGGGAGGCGGCAGCCTGGGGTCTTAACTGGTAGCAACTGCCCTGCTCCACGGAGGCACAGGAAGGGGAGGGCCAGACAGCAGATGGAGGACATGGGCAGGACACGTCCCCTCCTGTCTCCACGTGTTACTAAATCACGGCAGGAACACACAGAGATCCCTGCATGTTTGGGTCTGTCACGTGCATCAGCTCTTCAGGCAGATGGGTGGTGGCTCCTTCTAAAGGGTCTGAACTCTATGCCGCCAGCAGAGCTGACCCAGGGACGTGTGTGGAGCCTGCCCCGGGCAAGGCCACCACTTGAGGGCCGGCTGCTCTCTCAGATGCAGGACTTGGTACATCGGTCTCTGCATAAAAGGAGAGTGCGGGTATTGCAGGGAGACGAGACATGGGGAGAAACCAGGGAAAGATCAGGAAACTGAAGGCACGGGAGCCCGTTGTGCTGGATTTGAAAGACAAGGCATCAGAAAACATGATTGTTCAACCCAAGGCGGGGGGGGGGAACACAGGGTCACAGTTCAGGTCTGGTGGGAGCCCATCTGCCAGGGCTCAGTATGGTGGGAGTGGGCTCCCCACAGCTGGGCCTCACACACGTGTGTGCACGTACACAGGAGGTGCCCACGCGGAGACTGAACGAGGCTTTAACGGGATCCAAACCGCAGCAGCAGGAGGGCCAGATATCCCCAAAGGTTTCCTGCCTCGAGGACAACATTCATCTCATTTCTTTGAAGGGGGAAAAATCCCTTTCTGGCATTTGAGACGGTCTGTCAATATCAAGGCCAAGTTATATTGAAAACAAACCAGTGACATGCCAGGGGTGGGGGAAGCATGTCAGATTGTTGTAGGAATGGAGCCTCGGGCCTCAGTGTCCCCGTCGGTCAGTGGGGAGGTGAACCAGGTGACCGTGCATGGCACATGGGGCTCTCCCGTTCTGTGGTTTTATAAGCCACCACTTGCTGCCTACTGCGGGTGGTGTGAGAAGCTGGCCCGGGCGACTGCGTGGTAACAACTGTGTGTCATTTGCCACCTGTCTCTGCAGTGCTGTTGGGGACTTCCAGGTGGACGACAAGACCAAAGCTTTACTCAAGTACACAGGGGAGGTGACTTGGATGCCCCCCGCCATCTTTAAGAGCTCGTGCAAAATCGACGTGACCTACTTTCCATTTGATTACCAGAACTGCACCATGAAGTTCGGCTCCTGGTCCTACGACAAGGCAAAAATCGACCTGGTCTTGATCGGCTCTTCCATGAACCTCAAGGAGTACTGGGAGAGCGGCGAGTGGGCAGTCATCAAAGCCCCGGGCTACAAGCACGACATCAAGTACAACTGCTGTGAGGAGATCTACCCCGACATCACGTACTCGCTCTACATCCGACGCCTGCCCCTCTTCTACACCATCAACCTCATCATCCCCTGCCTGCTCATCTCCTTCCTGACCGTGCTGGTCTTCTACCTGCCTTCCGACTGCGGCGAGAAGGTGACCCTCTGCATCTCGGTCCTCCTCTCGCTGACCGTGTTTCTCCTGGTCATCACCGAGACAATCCCTTCCACCTCGCTGGTGATTCCCCTCATTGGCGAGTACCTCCTGTTCACCATGATTTTCGTGACCCTGTCCATCGTCATCACCGTCTTCGTGCTCAACGTGCACTACAGAACCCCGACCACGCACACCATGCCCGCATGGGTGAAGACCGTTTTTCTGCACGTGCTTCCCAGGGTCATGTTCATGACCAGGCCCGCGAGCAGCGAAGGCCACACCCAGAAGCCAAGGCCCTCCTACAGTGCTGAGCTCTCAAATCTGAACTGCTTCAGCCGCACGGAGTCCAGAAGCTGCAAGGAAGGCTGTCCCTGCCAGGACGGGATGTGTGGCCACTGCCACCACCGCAGAATAAAAATCTCAAACTTCAGTGCCAACCTCCCGAGAAGCTCCAGTTCTGAGTCTGTCAACGCTGTGCTGTCCCTATCTGCTCTGTCACCGGAAATCAAAGACGCCATCCAGAGTGTCAAGTATATTGCCGAAAACATGAAAGCACAAAATGAAGCCAAAGAGGTAAGGATGTGTTATTACATCAGTCGTTTGTTCATTCGACAAACATCTGAGGTGGGTCAGGAGTCAGCAGCCCGTGCTTGGACCGGCCCCTCCATTTACCAGGTAGGGGTCCCTGGACGTGTGCCTCGCTTACCGGAGCCAGTCCCCTCGTGCGCACAGTGGAACGACAGAGTCCGTCAGTGTGCCCTGGCGTTGGCCCCTGAGCTGCCAGCCGTCTGGGCCATCAGGACAGTGCCAACACACTTGGTCAGGAGATGAGCTGGAAAAGGGCACGAGACCAGCCGGTTTGACAGCTTTTACTTTCCGATTGTGTTTTTTCCCTTACTGAGGTATAAAGTGTATGCCTGTTAAGTGTACACGTCTTCACATTAGGTGTTCTCCCATGTAACCCTGAGTGCAGTAAGCACATGGGATGTGTCCCGTGCTCCTTCCCAGGCAGCAGCCCCTCCCCCTTGCTAACCACCGATCTGACTTCCTCGATTGGTTAGTTTTACCTCTTCTTGAACCTCATGTAGATGGAACTCCATAGTACAGACCCTTTCACATCTGACCTCTTTCATTCAACAAAATGCCTTGAGGCTTATCATCTTCGTGGTTTTTTAGGGTGGATAGTATTCTACGCTAGGGCTGCACCACCTTCTGTTTGTTTATTCTACAGTTGTTGGACATGGGCTGTTTCTAGTTTGGGGCTATTGTGAGGAAAGCTTCCATAAATATTCTTACACCTCTTTTGGTGAACACGTATACTCATTTCCCCTGAATGTACACCTAGGGGTGGGATTGCTGGATCACTGGAGAGATGTATTTTTAACTTGTAAGGTTTCCGAAGTGTCTGATGCGTTGATACCCCACCCTGGGCAACGTTTGAGAGTCCACTTGCCGCACATCCTCACCCACATGTGTTTAATTAGCTTTTCCCTGTTGAGTAACGATTAGGAATCTTCTTCCTATGCTTACTGGCCATTTGTACATCTTCTTTTGTGAATTATCTAGTCAAACTCTTTTGCTCATTTATTTTAATTGGGTGAACTTAGATTTCCTCCAAAGATCTCATGCTAGAATTAATGTCAAGTATTAGGAATAGGGAAGTTTTACACTTAATAATATCAAATGTCTGGCTGCTCCCTGACCCTGTTTACCCCCAAGTTTATCAGAATCAGATCTGATAATTTAATGAGAAGTTTTGCTTTAAAATTAATTGGCTCTGCCTTAAGCTGCTTATTAGCAAAGAGCTAATTAACTGATCATTTCAGCTCCTCACACACTGTAGGTGATTACGGTTGACAGGGAATGACTGGGGCCTCTTTTATTATACCCTGAATGGCACATGAAAGTGAAGGAAACAGGAGGGAGAGAGCAACAGCTGTCTGTCCATGCACCCAACCCACCGGCACAGTTGTGAGCCCACCATGTGACTCTACAAAGGCAGAGCCTCCTGCTGAGCCTGTAATTTAGCCAACAAGTCAGGCACACCTTTAACTTCAGCTGAAGCAACCGTTGGAGCATAAGTAAATGATCCGTGAACATCTCTCGTTTGTGTAACACTGACAACGTTTGCAGGTGCTCTCTACCCCTTTCTTTATCCATCTTGAAAAGAATCATTTCAGGTAGCAAAAATTTAATAAAGATTGAGATCTAAATACTGAAGACTCCATCAAGTTATTAGAAATTAACTCTATTTCAAAAATTACTTACTAGGCACCTGACAAAGTGTTAGTTTCACGAGGGTCTAAGACCTATTGTACAAAAGGACATTTTAAAGATTGTTACTAAAAGGGAAGTCACAACCAAAGTGACAGGAAGATACATTAGTGGCAAACTGTGGCAAGTGGTTCATCTCAAGTGGCAACCACTGCTCATCTCTGGTCATCTGTCACCACAGGGGACTTGGGCCCAGTCATAGCTCTCCCATTTTTCCAGAAATAGAAATTGGCCCACAGGCCAGCAGAGCACAACCTGTCCATGCTGAGAAGACTCGAGCTGTCGGAAGAAGGTCTTCTTTGCCTGTGTTGTGTGACTGCCACGCCACCAACACGGTTTTCCAGAGAGGCTTTACCTTCCTAGGTCTACAGCTCAGCATGGCTGGTTCACACTGTGTGTGGCCCCCAGGGACCTCACTTAAGGGCTGCTTTCCCAGGCCACCTCCTGAGGGTGTGGGGAGCCTGTGTGTGACTACCATGGCCCTCCCGGCAGGGGAACACCATGGTGGCTGCCTGCCTTGGCTGTTCCCTTCTCCAGCTGTTCGTGTGGGTCACTGCTTGCTCACGTTTGGCCGTTTTAGTAAGAAGTTTAATTACTGTTAATACGCAAACTTGGGGTCGCACGGAAGCGCTCTTTGTTGGCGGTATGTCTTTCACCCTGGGGTCGGCTCCACCATGCGAGCAGTTCTCTCAGTCTTGGAGGTGTGCCCAGGCCAGAGCCACGGTCTTCTGAGCTGACATTCTGAGATAGCTGGCTTCCTGTTGGGCTGAGACACACATGCATAGACACACACAGATACGTCTCTGCGTGTATAGATCTGTATATAGGTGTGCACGTGTATCTCTACGCGCATATTTTCATTCCTTCCAGAGTCTGACTTTTGATCAGCGATTTGGGAGTTTCCATTTGTTGTAACTACTGTTTGATCAAGGCTAAATTTCTGTCATCTTATTGCATGTTTCCCGACTTATTTTTCTTCTTTGCCTCACTTCGTGCTGAGCACTGGGAAGTCTGAATTGTTTCTGCTGGCTGGAAAGCCATGTGTTCCGTTTCTGTTCTGGAAGCTGTGCCTCAGTGACTTAGACCCACATGCGAGCTCTTCCAGATCCATCTCCTCACTCCTTTGCATCTTGCCCCTGACCCCACTGTCCTCCCCACTGGTCTTCCTTACTGCCCGGCCACACTGGATATGACCAGAGCTTCAGTTGTGGATTTGGGGGAATACAGCTTTAGGTTTTGCCAACCCTTTCTCTAGTCTATATCATTTTTTTTTTTTTTTTACGTCATCTTCAGTAAACAACTGACTTACCCCCCTGCCCTCCTGGCTTTCTCTCCACACTGACCCACCTTGATCCCAAGTGTTCATGGTTAAACCTTCTGAGGCCTGTAGGCTAAAAAGTGTAAAAACTCATTTTTAAGGCAGTTTAGCTGGATACAAAATTCTAGAAGTTCTTTTTCTTAAATACTTAAAAAAACCCTCCTCCATTGCCTTTTTGCTTCAGTATCACTAATGAAGTTTTAAGTTAATCTGAATGCTGTTTCTTTGCGATGAATCGATTCTATCTAGAAGCTACTGGAATTTGTAGAGAAATCCAGTGACCTCAAACACAGTGTGTTGGTGTGGATCTCTCCTAAACTGTTCGGCATCCTTAGGAGCCATTTTATCCTGAGGTTTTTCATCTTTGGTTCAGAGGGAATCGAGGTTTCCTCCGTGAAGATTTCCCATCCCCATGTCTCTCCCTGAACTGCACACGTCTGCTTCCACCCCCCCACCTCTTCCTTCCTGCCACCCTCACCCCTCCTCACGGGTTCCTTTCTGCCAGCTGTCCCCATCCTGAGTCTTTTCCTCCGCTTTTCTGTCACATTTTTACTTGGTTCTTCTGTGACATTGCTTCATGTTCCCTATGCTCTCTCTGATCTCTGGGGATATCCTCTGTACTTTAAAGCCTTAACCTCTCTGTTCTGTGAATTTCCTTCCAGATAGTTATGTTTGTGTTCTGAGGCCTGTAAACTCACTTTTTCAGGGGCATCAGCCTTGCTGGATGGTATTTGGGGAGGCTCCACAAGGCAGGAGGCCCATGTAGCCAGACTAGACTAGGCCTCCCTTCAAAGGTGCTTCCTTCCCTCCAGGTGACCTTGTCCCTCAAGGGATGTCTCTCAACCTCCCAGATTTTCACCTCAGCCAGGCTGTCCTCACTCACACGTTACCTGCGTCTCTGGGCTGGGACCAGGCAGGGAGCAAAGAGGCAGAGCCATAGGGGTGAGAACAGCACAGCCCAAATCTCCCCCACCCCCGCCCTGTCCCTGAGGCCCTCCTCTGGCCCCCCTAGTGGAACCTGGCCGGTGCCACAGCCTCTAACATATGGGCTCCCCTTGCTTCTGGGACATCTCTAGGGCCAGGCGAGGAGAAGGAGCCAAGAGCTTGCACTAGTTCACCGTATTGCCTGACGCTTCTCTGTTATCATTAGTCCAAAGTTTCCGGACCCATATGATGCCTTCAGGACTTTCAGAGTTAGACACAAATTGTCCCCCAGCTGTGTTTGTGCAGTACATTTGTGCTCACGTGGAAAACTCGAGTCCCGTCTGTGTTCACCAGGCAAAGCCGTGCAAATTGCTGTCAGAGGAAGATCTGTGGTTGGATGAGGGTCATCTTTTTTTTTTTTTTAATCAGTGTGACTATCGATAGGTACTATTCATTAAGGACTCTGTGCCAGAACATTATTTCACTTAATCCTCATCATAACCCTCTGAGGGGAGTACTGTTCTTATCTGCATTTCACAGATGGGGAAATTGAGGCAAAGAGAGGTCACATAACTTACCCAGGTTCTCAGACGCTGCGATGAAAATCAAAGTCTACCTGCTACAGCCTTAGGAGGGTTAGCTGGTAGGGGTGGGTGGGAACCACAGGTTCATTGTGTGTTTGAGGCACTTAGAAACCAGTCCTAGGAATCCACACAAAGTACTAGCGTTATAATTCTAATTTTAGCCAAATTCCTTAGTATCTTCAGGAGGACACATCTCCAGTTCATGGCAGTAAAAGAAAATCCTTGTCTCCCAGTCCCATTTCAGTGTACTTAATTAAATCACTAAATCACATGCTGCCTCTTTTTTATGTGATTATTTCTTCAAAATCAGTTGATTCATTGGTTCTCTCTTCCTCAATTCAATTACAGTTTCCTTGTCTTCCCAGTTGTCTAGGAGTGTAATTAACATACAATTCTCCTTCCTATTTCAAGCCTGAATTAGGGCTGTGTTATAGACAATTAGTCTTGCTCTTTCTACCGTCTTTTACTTTATTGTCAGCAATTATTTCTGATTTTCAGCCTGTCCTCTCACTGTTCAGAGTTCCACAATACTTTGGCCTTAGTGTTGAAGAAGATATTTGGTTAGCTGGGCAGGGCCAGGGGGCCGAGGGAGAGAGATGATGGCCTTGCCCTGCTTTACTTATTTCCTTTTGGAACAGATGTTAAATGGAAATTAGTATCTAACACTGGATAAGAACCAGCACTTTGAAGCAATAGTAAACGATGGTTGGATTGTATTAGTTACTCTAACAAAGTCCAGGAGTCCACAAGTCAAGTAACTGGTTTTCCTAACTTTATAAATTAGAATTCAGTTTAGAAAAAAATAGGTTATGTATACATGAAGACATTTCTGGTTGTTTCATTTTTTGTTTATTTTTAAAAGTAAGCTGTATGCCCAACTCAGGGCTTGAACTCACAGCCCTGAGATCAAGAGCTGTTACACCCTACCGCCTGAGCCAGCCAGGCGCCCCAAGAAATTTCTGATTCAAAACAGACCGAATGTGAATATTTTATACCTGCCTCTTGTAATGCATAAAGGGGGACTTGAGAACAGTGTTTCCTCAGACTCCATTAGGAAACAGGGCTTCTTGCAGAATGGCTTCTGCTGCCGCGACATATTTATTCGGTATTCAGTTCTGAAAATGTGTCCACTCTGCCCTTCCCTTCCTGCTTTACGTTTTCCTCTTTCACAATTTTTGTTTTTGTTTTTGTTTTCCAGATTCAAGATGATTGGAAGTATGTCGCCATGGTTATTGATCGAATTTTTCTGTGGGTTTTCATCCTGGTGTGCATTCTAGGGACAGCAGGATTGTTTCTGCAACCTTTGATGGCAAGGGATGACGCTTAAGCACCAAACTGTGTTTGCCAGAGGCTTCCTGGCATGCAGAGGGGGACTCGTTTGTTTTTATTGTGTAAAATACACTTGGCCATAAAATGTACCATCTTCACCATGTTCAGGCCCACAGCTCGGTGGTGGTAAATAGTCATCGTTGTGCAGCTGCCACCGCCATCTCCAGGACTCTTCGTCTTGTAAGACCGCATCTCCGCACCCACTGAACACTAACTCCCTGTCCCCTCTCCCCCTGAAACCCACATTATACTGTTTTGACTACTTTAAGTACCTCATATAAGCAGAAGTGCACACTATTTGTCTTTCTGTGATCGGCCAGTTTCATTCAGCATCATGTCCTCGGGGCTCACCCATGTTGGAGCAGGCGTCAGAATCTCCTTTCTTTTTAGGGCTCAGCCGTGTTCCATTGCACGTCTATTCATGTTGCTTATCCGCTCATCTGGCAGGGGACACTGGGGCGGCCCCCACGTTTTGGCTGTTACAGATACGTGTGCGCCCATGTTCACAGCAACATTATCTGTTTGAGACCCTGCTCTCGATTCATTAGGATCTATGCCCAGAGGCGGAATTGTTGGGTCCTGTAGTAATTCTATTTTCAACTTTCTGAGGAACAACCGTACTGTTTTCCAGGATGGCTGCACCAGTTTGCATTCCCACAGGGGCTCCAATTCTTGGCATCCTCATCAACATTTGTATTGTTTTTTTTTTTTATAATAGTCATCCTAACGGGTGTGAGGTGGTATCTCATTGTGGTTTTGATGTGCATTTATGTAACGATTAGTGATGCGAAGCATCTTCTCCTGTGCTTATTGGCCGTTTGTGTGTCTCTTTGGAGAGGTGTCTGTTCAGGTCCTTTTCCACTTTTTTTTTTTTTTTTTTAAAGTTTATTTTAAAGAGCACAAGCAGGTGAGGGGCAGAGAGGGAGGAGACAGGATTTGAAGCCAGCTCTGCGCTGACAGCAGAGAGCTCAATGCGGGGCTCAAACTCACAAGCCAAGCTATTGAGATCACGACCTGAGCTGAAGTCAGACGCTCAACTGACTGAACCACCCAGGCGCCCTTTCTTTTCCACTTCTCAATTGGGTTGATTGTGGTTTTTAGTTAAGTTTTAGGAGTTCTCTATATGTTCCAGATATTAATCTCCTATCAGAAACAAGATTTGCAAATATTTTCTCCCAGTCTCTGGGGTGCCTTTTCACTCTGTTGATAGTGTCTTCTGATGCACAAAATTTTTAACTTTTCATTAAGTCCAGTTTATCAACTTTTTGTTAGCTGTGTTCCTCTGTGTCATATCCGAGAAATCACTACCAAATCCAGTCTTGTAAAGAATCTGTCCTGTTTTCTTCCAGGAGTTTTCCTGCTTAACTCTTACATTTAGGCTCTTTCTCACACTTTCTATCATCAAGCTACTGGCACTGTTTTTAGCATTTCAAGGTTTACTTATTTACCCAGTTGTCTTGGTTTTTATCAAAAGAGATTCGTGCAAGAAAAAAGTCAAGGGTATTTATTATAGATAACTGAACATTTAACCAGCCTTTTTGGTAAGGTAGAGAAACATCAAAATATAGTTCTGCAGTGTGAAGTAATATACTCTACTAAAGAATATGTAAATATGGGCTAAATATGAAAACGGTTTCCCCTTTGTGCTGGTTGAGGCATAATTGGACAGGAAAACTTGCTGCTCACAAATGTGGAAATCCATCTGGTTCAGTATCACAACAGATTTCCCAAGGGTTTTCTTACTTGGCCTGTGATCTCCTTGAAGTTTTGTACCATTTCAGCAATGCCCTACCTACTACCATTTCCTCCCATGTTCACTCCTTGTCCCACTCCTTGTTCATCGTTGATTTCCAAGAGTCTGAGGGCCGTGCCTCCTTCACAGAACGCCTCAGCCTTTATCTCACATCATCCTAAGGAACTATGCTATGAAAAGGTATGCCCAGTCACATATCCATTGCTAGTAAACCGTTGGAGCAGCATTTCTCAACCTTGGCACTATTGGCATTTGTGGCCAGATAACTCTGTGCTGGAGAGACATTGTAGGATTTTTAGCCTCCATCTGGCCTCTACCCACTAGATGCCAAGAACATACCCCCGGGTCCCTTGCCAGTTATAACAACCAAAAATGTCTCCAAAAATTAAGTGGTCCCTCAAGCACAAAACTGTGCCCGATTGAGAACCACTGCTGTAGACAGATTATTAAGAAGACAGTATTCCAGTATGGAGTACTGCAGTCCTGAATCTGAATAGGTAGGAGATGAGGGTTTGCAGAGACCATTTTAATCTTCTCACTAGTCATTTTGATGTTTTGGCTTTACGAAAATAAAACTGACAAAATCACAGCCAACTGTGACTCATGTTTTGGTAAGTCAAAGGAAGATTTCTACAAAATTTACTCACCTATAGAAATTTTACGTAACAGTAACAGAGGTAGAAGAAGAATCAGGGATATATACGTGCTAAGAGATCTAACAGGCATTTAAACTCATCAGACCAGACTTTCACTCATTAAATGACATTAAACATGTACCTACAATAAAATACAAATGAGACAGGATCCCCTCTGCCTTCCAAAGAGTGTCGACCTGACCTTAGATGGGTTACTTACTATAAATAAGGCATTTGTTCTCTCAAGGGCTAAGAGTTCCAGATAAAATGCAGAGCTTCAACAGTGTTTTATTCCTGATCGTAGCTGAATCAGGGCATTCAGAGATGGAATCTCACTTGTTTACCTGTGACGCGTGCCACTACGGTCCTGAATGAGCAGTAATCGGTGAGACTGCACCACACCTAGAGGCCCTGCAACTCTATGGCTCCAGTACTGTGACTGCTGGAAAGAAGGAGATGAAACTATACGTGACAGCCATGTGACAATGAGCTTCCACCTAATTAGAAACCATCTTTAATCTTGGAAGATGGTTTTTCACAGTATGATTTGGTGGCATCCATGGACGTGTTTTTAAAATGGGATTCACTTAATTGTAGAGGACGCCTTCTAAGATGAAGGGTACAGAAATGCTACGGTTTATATAGAAGATGGTTAATTGTGGAAAATGTGGATAAGGGGGTTGAAATTAATGTTAAGAAGATACTAGTGCATGTCCACAAGTTACCTATTGTGTGATTTTACAATTGAAGGTAAGCTACAAAAACAGTTAATACAATAATTGTTCAGTTTAAGCATCTAAGAAATAAAGTAAGCTTTAAAGGAATTCCCATTTTTCATTTTTTACAATGTTGGTTATAGAAAAGCAGCATCACATTAAATTGTTATCATACCAAGGAGTTAGCTTATTTAACATAGCAGTATAATATTATGCTAGAGATTAGCTGTTACTCCGTGGATACAGGACAGAAAGAAAGAAATTTAAAATGTGTACCTTTACCAAATGCAGAAAAAGTCCTGAAATCAGTCTTCAAATACAACAGGAACTTTCCAATACAATCAAAAGATGAGCTTCACGTTGATTACGAATTGGTACTGTTTGCCAGGACACCAACATTAGGTTTTCACTAGTACAGTTCAGATAACATTTTGCTGCTATTTTTAGCTCAAATGCTGAGTCAGCTATCACTTCAGTCATGCAGGTAAAATGTTCTCAGGGCAGTCTATTAAGATAAACCAAAGTTAGCAACTGTTAATCTGACAAAGCTTGCTTCAAATTTTAAACACAATTTACATTTTCTAATTTTAAGGGTGCCAGAGGCATAGGTGCCTTTGGTAACTAAATTCCTACGATGACACCACTACGGAAGGATCACTTATTTGCATCTCCAATATGAACCGGTACTATTATATTTGCCCACTTATAAATAACAGGAACGAAAAGCCCAAGAGATCCAACAATTGAAACCAGAAGAAAAGTCCACAGAAACATCCGATCAAGCACCTGTGCTATGAATTTCCAATCTTCAACCACCTGTTGCAATAAAAAAAAAAAACATTTTAAATACATAATTTAAAATTGTGTAATTACTTTAAGATATTACACACTGAGTCAGAGGCCAGATCACTTTCTGCCTCCCGCTACTGCCTCACAACGTAAGTGACCTTGTACTCAGAGCTCAGGGACAGACACTCCCCTGACAATCTAGAACATAGAGCCTCCACAAGCTTTCAGAGACGCTACACAATCTATTAATGTACTTCTTGACTTGTAATATATTACAAGTGACATTCTTTATAGACTTTTAATAAAATTAGAATATTTATACTACTTGGATATTTTATAATAAACTAAAAAAATCACTTTTATTCATATTACATACAGTTATTTCTGTCATTTTTTCTTGTCCAGCAGTGCTTACTTATTTTAATTTCTAAAGAGAATCCAGCCTGGGATTAACCTCAAGCCAAATTAACAACTGGTTCAGAATGATTACAGGGTGCCTGGGTGGCTCAGTCGGTTAAGTGTCCGACTCTTGATTTCGGCTCATGATCTCACAGTTCATGAAATCTGACAGTGGAAAGCCTGCTTGGGATTCTCTCTCTCTCTCCCCCCCAAAATAACTAAACTTTTAAAAAAAAAAAAGGATAATATGCATTAGCTATTAATCTTCTCACCCCACAATGTGCATTATTTAGTTTTGGATTCCCCAGGGGCTATTTTAATCTAAGCTCATGAATTCAGATCTGCTGGTTGGACCTCATTTCAACCCCCGTTTTGCAGCCTAAGCAGGGAGCTAGCTCAGCAGTTCCAAGTGACCTCAAAGAAAGGGCAGGCTGAGACAGGCCCCTGAACACCAGAGGCTCCCCTCACAGGGCCTTCCCTGGCCCCTGCCTTTATGGTGCACGAGGTCCCCCACAAGAACTCTGCCCCCTCAGCTATGAGAGAATGTGGACTTTAGGTAGCTGTCAACACTCTACTGCTTTTCTAAGTACCCCCCTGAAGACAAATACCATTTACTGGCCCTAGGGGGATGAGCCCTGGCCCTTCTGCACAATACTTTGCAGACATTTATTAATCCAGATATTATATAATCCAGATCATTATTTAACTAATATCTACATTTTATTTATTTTTTTTTTAATTTTTTTTTCAACGTTTATTTATTTTGGGGACAGAGAGAGACAGAGCATGAACGGGGGAGGGGCAGAGAGAGAGGGAGACACAGAATCGGAAACAGGCTTCAGGCTCTGAGCCATCAGCCCAGAGCCCGACGCGGGGCTCGAACTCACGGACCGCAAGATCGTGACCTGGCTGAAGTCGGACGCTTAACCGACTGCGCCACCCAGGCGTCCCAATATCTACATTTTAAAGACTCCATCGATAGCTTCAGACCTTATATACTAATCATACTACCATGAAATAGAAATTTTACAAATCCACAAACATTTGAAGTCTTCCAGAAATCTGTTATATGTTCTTTCTGTGAGGAGGACTGTAATTTTACCAGATTCACTTTGCTTCCCAAACCTGCTAGAAATTTTTCCATTTAAAAACGGTTTGGAAATGAAAATTCATACAATTGTAATGGGGACTATTCAAAGCAAATTCAATTATGAAAATACTACTATAGTCCTAGCTTTAAAAATATCACACAGTAGGGGGCATGTGGGTGGCTCAGTGGGTTAAGCCTCAAACTTCAGCTCAAGTCATGACCTCACAGTTCATGGGTTCAAGCCCTGTGTTGGGCTCTGTGCTGACAGCTCAGAGCCTGCTTCAGATCCTCTGTCCCATTCTCTCTCTGTCCCTCCCTGCTCTCTCTTTCACACTCTCAAAAATAAACATTTTAAAAAATTTTTAATAAAAATATAACGCAAGAGAAATACAGTGACAAGATTAAAATCTGACATGTTTTGAAAGAAAATTTAACATCACATTAGTAAAATGTATTCATGTTCAATTCTTACATTGTAAATATTGATCTTAAGCCAATGAGAGTTATTTTTCTATAATAAAGTTTTAAGCAAATTTTTGGTTTTAAGCAAATTAAGAATATTACTAAGCACTATTTCTAACTTTCACATGAACACTTTGACATATGATATATAACATCCAAGAATATCTACTGCTTTCAATTTCACTGACATTCTCTTATAAATGAACAAGAAAAAGACATATTCTAGAAAAAATACCTTGGCTGAAATTTATAGAGCCTACATTAGGCTCATTTTTTAAAAAATAAAAAATAGCTTTTGATAAATTATAATGCCCATTGTGCCTACAGATTACAACAGAATTCAGAAACAAAGTTACAGAAGATAGAATTAAAATAATAATGTCAGAGTCAAAAAAACAAATGGCAGTGTTACTACTCTTTAGAATAGAGTAACAACAGTCGGCACAAGGCAAAGTTGCTACGGGGAATGGAGAGGTGAGATCTGCATAGATGCCCACTGGCAGATGTTTTAACTGAAACAAATTTTGGTAAAGATCTTCCACCGAACAATGTGTCAGCGTTTCTGGCCCTCAACCTACACTGAGTCTCAAGGGCCATGCTGATTACTCCCAAACTCAGAATGGAAGCGGATGAGCACTTGTATACACAACATGTCACAAACCTCACGGACGTCATTCTCCTTCATGACGTGTCTTGTAATGTAGCGGATGGAATCAAGCGCAGCTTCCAATGTGTTTCTAGAAGACTCTGGTCTACCACCGCCCTCAGTTTCCTCTTTATGAGCGAAGTACCTGTCTACGTGACTCCTCATGCACAGCAGTTTGGGAAGCTTGTGGAGAAATACCTTGCGGACCCAAGGTGCCATTGCATCGTGTGTTGAGGAAGAACGATGATGGATATTGATAGCGAAGACGGTCACCATGATTGACAGCGTCACAAAAATCATGGTGAACACCAGATACTCTCCAATCAGAGGTATTACTTTGGAAGACGAGGGTATGATCTCTTCAATAACCAGAAGGAAGACAGTCAGAGAGACCAGGACTGACGTGCAGAGACTGAGCTTCTCACCTTCGTTTGAGGGGAGATAGAAGACAAGCACGGTTAAAAACGAGAGCCCGATACAGGGTATAATAAGGAACAAGGTGTAAAAGAGAGGCAGACGCTTAATTACAAATGAGTAGGTGACATAAGGGTACCAGCAGGAGCCATCCGTTCTGTTTCCTTTGCTTCCCGTTGCACTCACAATCTCCCATTCTCCATTGTCAAAAAAATCTCTCTTGTCCACGTCTTGGTCCTCTAAAATTATATCAACCTGTGATCCATCGTAAGTCCAAGAACCAAATTTCATGGAGCAGTTTTGGAGATCGAATGGGAAAAACGTGACATCTATTGTGCAAGAACTTTTGTAGTTTGCCGGTGGAGTCCAGGTGACAGTGCCATCATACCTGATGACTGCTTTCGTGCTGGCCCCTTCAAAACGTCCATCTGCACTGAAATAAACACATGCACATAACAATGCAGAGACTACACAACGCAGGCCTTCACAAGCCTGAGATGAGAGAAAGTCGACACCATGGCGTGAGATACTTTTTAAACTATTATGCTTGACATATACCTGCTATGTGTAGGGGACTCTGTTTTAGGGACATCTTATGTAAATATCCGACTTTACTAGAACTGAACTCCTTCCGCATCTACTCCAGGACTGACAGTCGATCTCTATTTCACAGAATCCTGAGATTTTAGAGGCTGAAAGATTTCCCTTTACATACAAAATATAATTAGGCTATTGAAACAATAAAATATTGGCCAGAACCTGAATCCACATTTCTAGGCTCTCCACACAGTGCTCTTCTCCTCCATCACAAATGCTGGACAGTTACTACAGGCGCAGGAAGGAACATTAGCTCTAAGCTGTGCCTCTCGAGTTCTGCCACCATGTGAGCTCCTATACTGGAAAAGTCTAGTAGGAACAGAAGATTTCTATAAAATACTGTTTTTTATCTTAAAACTCATGTGACTTTTGCACACTACTCTTTTATACACTCACGTTTATGTAAAAATGTTTTTCAGAGACTGGGGCGCCTCAATGGCTCAAGTCAGTTAAGTGTTGGGCTCTCGATTTCAGCTCAGGTCAGGATCTCCCAATGCGCAAGTTCAAGCCCTGCATCGGGCTCTGCACTGACAGTGCAAAGCCTGCTTCGGATTCTCTCTCTCCCTCTCTCTCTCTGCCCCTGCCCCACTCACATGTGTGCGCTCTGTCAAAATAAATAAATAAACTTAAAAAAAAAAATGTTTACTACGACCTAGAGTAAAATGGTGCTCTGGGGAGCTATATCCTGCTACCTTATAGTTTTGTTTCCTCTTTACCTATTGAGAAACATGGAGGAAAAAGGTGTTTAGAGACTAATATTTTTCACACAGCATTTGCTCTGTCTTCATGCCAAATGCCTGCTTGCAAATAATACAAAATGCTTTAGGATAAGCACAAATTCCCAAGATTTACCCTGGGTTTGTCCCAGAAAAAAATGAAACTCACACCCAGAATCATCCTTTCCCCAAGTTAAAAACCATCCTCAAAGTACACCTAGGTAGGGTGCCTATAAAGATGAGTTCACTCAACATTCCTCATCATGGGATAATCTAATATAGTATTTAAGCAAAATTAGAAGGACGCACATTTGAACATAAAGTATGACTTCAACTATTTTTTAAACACCCCCAAAATCTTGAAGGCAATCTGCGAAATATATAGTCTATTAAATAGGAGGATAAATAGGGATGTCGGGCCGCCCTAGTGTGAACCCCACCCTGCCACATGCAAACTGTGCAACGTTGGACAAGGTTATAATGCCCTCACCTGTTTCCTCATCTGTCAGAAATGCCATTTTAAAGGTACTGCTGGGAATCAAATGAATAAAGCAGAAAGGTACCGCACATGCGGCCAGGCACAGAGTAAGTTCTATGTGTGAGCTCGTGCAAATGGCTGCCTCTAATGCTGGAATGAATAATGGGACTGATTAAAGGTGACACCCCGCCCCCAATTTTACACCTTTCTAGACTTCCCAAATGTTTTACACGTTTTGGAAAGCAAAGAACACTTTTATGATCAGGAAACAAGACACCAAAAACAGGAGAGGACCCAAAGAACCTATTTGGAGGTTCACAACAGAACACAGATCAAGTCTTTTGATTTTATACGTAAACAATTTTCAGAAGGAAGAAAAATTACTAGTGGCTAATATACAAGCATTTTCTTTTGAAAACATAAAGTAATATTTAGTAAATAAAAACTCACTTATCAAACAAAACAATGTCTGGGGTCCAGAGAGAGTCTGAAGGGACGCGTATAACTTTTATTCCGCCATAGTCGCCAGGGCGCCAGCTTAACTTTACATCTATCCACTCCTGCAGAGCAAAGACAACAGGCTCAGTTTCGATGAAATTGATAGTCATAAGTCATAAAAACTATACTCTTTATGCCAAGTCCAGAAATCCTAGACATAAAATCATCTCTACTCGCCACAGAGAAAATTCACCTCCAAGTCCTTCTTAAGAGTACAGAAGCATAGCCCTGCCCCCGTGTGGTGACTCCAGCTCCGGTCCTCCTGAGACACAGGTGTGCGCCGTGGGTGTGTTCACAGCTCTGTTCAGCACCTCCTCTCACACCAACTGGCCACACCCAGGAGCCAAAGCCATGGGCATCTAAGGTCCAGGTTTAAGGCCTGAAACCTTTTCCATTGTCTTTTCCAGGTGCATTGTCATTGGCTGGACTGGTGCATGCCAGGGGAATTGGATTTATTACATAGTCCACATTTAAACACCTTGTCCACGCTCCACATAGTGACAATTCTGTGATCACGTCAAGTTAGGACTCGCACACCAAGGAAAGCATACAAGCCTTGTAGGAGTTAGAGTCAGGGAACTGGCAGCAGGTACTAAAATTAGGGATGATAAAGAAAGAGCAAAGGGAAGCACATAACAGCAGCTGAGGACAAAGCTATGATGGCATCGAAGAAAAAGCAGTCTCTTCTAAAAAGGGGCTACGGGGCGCCTGGGTGGCGCAGTCGGTTAAGCGTCCGACTTCAGCCAGGTCACGATCTCGCGGTCCGTGAGTTCAAGCCCCGCGTCGGGCTCTGGGCTGATGGCTCGGAGCCTGGAGCCTGTTTCGGATTCTGTGTCTCCCTCTCTCTCTGCCCCTCCCCCGTTCATGCTCTGTCTCTCTCTGTCCCAAAAATAAATAAACGTTGAAAAAAAAATCAAAAAATAAATAAATAAATAAATAAATAAATAAATAAAAAATAAAAAGGGGCTACGAATGTAAAACTAATTCATCGCCCATTCCCATCAGCTCCAAGTAAACACCACAATCCTCACAGAGGCCTAGATGCTCGCTACACCGCTGGCTTGCCACTGCTTCTCTGACCTCATCTACACACCCCTGCTCACCTCTACCCACACCGAATGTGTTCTTCTCCAAGCCTGTCTACTTCCGAGGTACTGTAACAGCTTACCTGTTCCTCTTCCCCAACTCGAATGAAGTTCTTGCCAGCCGAGACTTCTGTCCGTTTTGTTGCCTGTTTCCCCAGTGCCCAGAACAGCGTCTGGCAGATGGCAGCCACTCCAGTATTGCCTGAACCAATACGAGAACCCCACCCACCCTCAACCCTCCGCACCCTGCCAATCCACCAAGACCACATGCTCGTGTTTCTTTGCGCTGCAAACCCTACAGGCACAACAGCACCCGTGACCAGTCAGGTGCCTTCTGAGCTTCATACACACCTGTTTCAACCAGACATTCGTTGTCATTAACTGATTTTTCTCATCCTGTGAAACAAAAATTTAAATAAGGCTGATTATTTCAAGGACAGAAGCAATACTTCTTCAAATACGAATTTTCACAGTTTTACACAAACATGCCTTGTCCATATAGTACCTATATCCTGTTCATTGGTGCAGCTCTCTGGAAACGCAGGATCATTTTTCCAGCCTAATTTCACATTATCCCTTTCCAGATGCTCTGAATTTCAGCTGAACTGCCCTGCAGTACACCACTGGCATTAGATTTAACATTCATACACTCCCACTCTACATCCTGAAATCTAAGATACAATCTAAGAAACAAGCGCGCACATTAGTTTATGTACTTGGCACTAAGAAAGGAAAAGGCTGACAATGAATTTTAAGTTGCCATTAATTATAATACACATCTTGATTTCAGAAGTGCTGAAATGTGGAAGAGTGTGCACATCAGAATGAGAGATACACTGTTTCTGTGCCTTCCTGCAGGACTGTAACTTGCAGTTATGTTCCTCTGCTGAGGCAGGGATTTGAATCTCTGAGGAGCTGCTATGTAGAAAAAAAATACTGGGGCCACTGTCCGGAGTGGCAGCTTCATAAGCTTTCACAGCCTGCTTTTCTAGAAAACCGGGGTCTTTGATATTTGCTACTTACACCTTTCTGCCATTGTATCTTTGCTAAGACCAGTTTTTCACTGAATTCTCAAGGCCTAATTAAAGAGACAGCTCAGGACGCCTGGGGGGCTCAGTCGGTTAAGCGTCTGACTTCGGCTTAGGTCATGATCTCACGGTTCGTGGGTTCGAGCCCCGCGTTGGGCTCTGTGCTGACAGCTCAGAGCCTGGAGCCTGCTTCAGACTCTGTGTCTCCCCTCTCCTTCTGCCCCTCCCCAACTCATACACTCTCTCTCTCTCTCTCTCTCTCTCTCTGTCAAAAATAAACATTAAAAAATAAAAATTAAAAAAAAAAAGATAGCTCTTCCATTACATTTTACTGAAATATCATGGAGCCAATTGGACCAGTACAAGACCATCATGATGACCAAACACAATTCCACCGTGGGCAGGACAGACCCACAGAAGGATGAGGCAATCTCCATAGCCGGGGACAGAGGACAGAGGTTTAGATGGCTCATTCCAAAACACATGAGTGGCCCAGGAGAAAGAAGGAAGACGGAGGAAGCACATCCCTTGAGATAAAGACATCTGTGACATCCCTACATGGGAACAATTACTAGGAAATAGAGCATGGCCATCACTCTTACACTGTGGTTCCAAAGGGCAATTGTCCTTGAGTAAAACACTAGAGCTGAAAAGGACCTATAGATCTCATCTAGTTAAATCATTCATTCTGCAAAAAGAAACTAGCCCAATGAGGCAACTTGCCTAAAATCACTCCACCAATTGGTAGTAGAACTAATGTTAGACTTCAAAGCTCCTGAGTTTAAACTCTGTGCCACCAGCTCTACTGTCTATCCCAAAGGCACACGCCATCCAGAGAAAGTGCTGACCTCTGCATCAGAATATTCCTAGTAGGCAAAAGTTCTAAACAGAGGCATTAACAATTAGGAAAGTTCTGGTATACTTATTACCTGTGACGCTGTAAGTCAATAGGTCATCTTTGAGAAGCTAATGAAAATTATACACCTTTTCCCCAGAAAAATGTGAACACACATAAATTTTGCACTATGGAGTAGGACCCAGTCAATACTCAGTATCCTCAACAGGAACACAGATACAAGAACAATACCTAAGTTCACAACTGGCCCCAGATGTGAGGGTTAGCCACTACCTTAGGGGACACAGCCTAACTTAAGGTGACCTCAGGTACCTCCCAAGCACCTATAATGTGCTCAGCACAATGCAGGATGCAAAAAAACGAAACCAAAACAAAACCTAGGACGAAGGACAAACGCAGGACTGCACCCAAGAGGACGAGGCACATTAACACAGAGATATGCCCACACGTAAGTAGAGCAGAAAAGTTTTAGGGGTTTTTTTAAACCCCGAATAGATTTTTTAACCTGGCCATAAAACTAGCATCCAACAAGCAAGCCGGCGTGGGGATTTGAGAGACAGAGAGAGTTCGAACATGTAGGAAATAAGGCAGGAATCTGAGCGAACTTTGAGGAGGAGCCCCCAAACATGACCACAAGCCAGACGGGTAAGAGCTTCGCAGTTAAAGGGACAGACATAAAGCTTCCACTCTCCGTGTCCAGGGCCCTCGCCTCCTCTCCCTCTGCTCTTGTCCTCTTTCTCTCTCATCGTCACTGACCCTAACACGTCCTGGGCTCTTCTCACAGGAAGCAACCCATCCCCGACTTCTGTTCTGGGCTCCTCCTTCCTTCACCACCTTCTATGAATGTTCCTCAGGGATCAACTTGCCTGCATTCCCTGCTCACTTTAACACTCCTCAGTCCAATGTTTTCGATGCTCAGCTGGGCCAGGGTCTCCACACTGACACCCTCAGCTCCTCTCTGCCCACAGAGCCAGCACTGACTTCCCAGGGGCCTCAGGAATGTGGCACAATCACCTGCCATCACAGCGGAGAGCACCATCTTCCCTGTCCTACCCCACAGCAACTGATTCCATCTTCCGGATCCGCCACTCTTCTCTTCTAACCACTCAGGCTTCAAAATCTGACGCCTCCCTCGGTGCTCATTGGTCACGACCTGCTCCTGCTTCTGCCTGGCCTTCTAACCAGCCTCCGAAGCTCCTCTCTCTCTCACTCCTCAAAACCACGTATCTAACTGACCTGCAGCCCTTCCTAAAGCACTGCTGTGACCACATCTGTTGCCTGTCACATCTGCCACTCACTCGGCAACTGCCATGTGCCAGGAACCACTCTGGGCTCTGGGACAGAAGCAAGGCATGAAGCTTAGCCTGCTCTGAGGGTGCCATGCCAGGGCACACAGGTGCCAGCAGTGCGAAGGGCTGCGTGAACAGAGGAGACCGTCTTAGGAACTCTGGAAAGATTTCACAAAGAGTCAGACAAATAAATTGGGCCTTGAAGGATAAGTGACTTCTTCCAAGAGGTAAAACTCTCCAGTCGAAAAATGGCAGGAGAGAAAGCACAGTGCAGGCCCCTCCACGGCCCGTCAGATGATCCCGGGGAGTGGCCTCCAACAGTGACCTTCTGATCTGAACAGCTGAACAGAAAGGCTCCCTCTCACTGCTCAGCCTAGATCATACTGCTCCTTGTTACCCTCCTCTCCGTGTGTCCGATCCTACACTCCAGACAAGGCCAGCTCGAGGGCCTCCGCCTGTGTTCTTTAGTGACCTAAATAATCTGAATAAAGTCTAACCTAATATAACCTAATCTAACCTAAATATAACCTAATATAACCTAAATAAAGTCTGAATCCCCAGATTTTTGTGGTATCACAATTTAGTCCTGCAATGTCCTATAGTCACTCTGCTTACTTGCTGATAGTCCCAACTGGAAAGACAGGTCTTTGAGAGGGAGCCCCACTCATCCTCCTACTTCCCTATTTGTACTTATACTGAAAATCTCCTAGCAGAGGGTGAAGGACACAACACAGTCCATATTCACGGATCTTTCTGGAGGCAATTAAGGTGACATCATCAACACACTAAACTTTTTAAAATGTATATCTTTTGGGGTGCCTGGCTGGCTCCTTGGTCAGAGCAGATGACTCCAAGCCTCATGTTGGGCATGGAGCTTACTTTAACAAATAAAAATAAAAAAATAAAAAAGTATATCTTTTGATTCATTAACTACCTTTCTTAAAGAAAGAAGAAAATCAGACATTTGTGTACAAATATATTCATCATTGTCATTTATAATAGGAAATCCTGGGAATTAACCCCTGCCAACAAGAGAATATTTCAATAAATTATAAATGGGATGTCATATAGCCATTAAAATTATATTTGAAGATTATGTAATGACATAGGGAAATGTTCTTCATTTAACAACAGGAGAGAAAATGAGCACTAATACATAGAAGTGTTGAATCACTATATATTGTATACCTGAAACTAGCACTGTATGTTAACTAACTGGAATTAAAATTTTTCAATTTTGGAAAAGGAATTGAAGGGAAAAGATTCTTCATTACGTCTAAATTAATATTCCAATTTTAAAACATACACACAAAGAAAAAACTGGCAAGAGAAACAGCAGAATGTTATCATTAGGCATCTTTGGGTGGTAGAATTGCAGTCAATTTTTATTTCCTTATTTGTATTTACTTGCACTTTCCAAATTCTCTACAAAAATTATGTAGAAGATAAAGGCATGCCTATAAGTGTTATTGTACAATCTCTCTCTCTCTCTCTCTCTCTCTCACACACACACACACACACACACACACACACACACACACACACACTCACTGTTTTGGGAACTCAGCAGGGAAATAACTATTGACTGATATGATCTCTGGTATAGTTTAAGTGTGATATTGAAACAATGATCTGAGATACTTTTTGGTCCTAAAAATCTACAAATCTACTCTTGGACTTTTTCTCTTTAAAATGTTGACTTTTTATCATATCTTTAAACAAATTTAATAAGAAACTTCCATATAAAATGTTTAATATCAGGGCACCTGGGTGGCTCAGTCGGTTGAGTGACCAACTTCAGCTCAGGTCATGATCTCTCACGGTTTGTGAGTTCGAGCCCCACGTCGGGCTCTGTGCTGACTCTGTGTCTCCCTCTCTCTCTCTGCCCCTCCCCCACTCATGCTCTGTCTCTCTCTCTCAGAAATAAACAAACATTAAAAAAAAATTTTTTTAAATAAAATGTTTAATATATTTCAACTTATTAAAAATAAACTTGGGGCGCTTGGGTGGCGCAGTTGGTTAAGCGTCCGACTTCAGCTCAGGTCATGATCTTGCAGTCCGGGAGTTCGAGCCCCGCGTCGGGCTCTAGGCTGATGGCTCAGAGCCTGGAGCCTGTTTCCGATTCTGTGTCTCCCTCTCTCTCTGCCCCTCCCCCGTTCATGCTCTGTCTCTCTCTGTCCCAAAAATAAATAAACGTTGAAAAAAAATAAAAATAAACTTATTACTTGGGGCACCTGGGTGGTTCAGTTGGTTGAGCATCCAACTCCAGCTCAGGTTGCGATCTCACAGTTTGTGGGTTTGAGCCCCACATCAGGCTTTGCAATGACAGTGCAGAGCCTACTTGGGATTCTCTGTCTCCCTCTCTCTCTGCCCCTCCCCTGCTTGTGTGAGCTCTCTCTCAAAAATACATAAATATTTTTTGAAAAATTTTTTAAATTGACCTATTACCAAGTAAATGATTTCTAATATACAATATTATATAAAAAGTGTATTTCTATGTCTATTGAGTAATAATTATCCTTCCCTGCTGAGTTCCTTTAGGAAAATGACTATGTCTCATTCTCCTTTGTAATCTGTGCCTCCCAACACAGTGCCTAGGCACCCATGATGCTCTCAGGAAGCCTGTATGAAATTGAGTATGTAATGATATGCACACCTACCACATCCACTAATTGAGATATTGCCAGGCCAAACTTTATTTTTATTTTGTCATTCAGGTGTTCCACAGGACGAACCCATCTTTCGTAGTCTTGAAATAAATCCTTTAACAAACTATCTTCATGTTTTGCAACAAAGGATGGTTCAGCTAACCCTGTACAACAAATTTTGAAAAGTTAGTGTATCAACTTCTCTCCCACCAAATACCTCTACTTTAAAAAATGTTTGGCTTTATCAATGAAACAAACTATTATTTAGGTTATTAATGGAGCTCTTAAAATAAAACATTGATACAAATGTTTATGACCAATAAGGGACACTGTGGTTTAGATACATTTCTTAGTTAAATCAGATTACTCACATGGAAGTACACTGAGTTCCTTAGGAAACATTCAGTACTTAATACAGAGTACTGTAATAAAAGATTTTAAGCTTTTAAATAAGTTACCAGGGCTAGAGGGGTTGCTTGTCATAAAATTCCAAACCTAGAAAATAGATATGTTCCAGTAAAGTTCATTTATCAACTGTAAATATAAAATACATAAGCTTTAATTTATATGATTTTAATATACAAACATACAAATACTGAATGAATTATTCAGATTTGTCATACCTTTGTTTGCTATCCATTTGTATAAAATTACCTTAGGACCTAACACTTAAAAGAGAGAGAAACAAAATTTTAAAAATTTTAGATGCCATAGCCAAAGACTGGTTAGATTTATGGGTCACAGTTACGTTCAGACTTCTATGGAGCTTAGTTAAACATCTCTGAAGAAATGAGAGTTTCAGTGTTGAATGGGTTGGAGTCTCTGTTAGGATACCTGAAATGTGTGAAATTCAAGCATGACATTGACTCAAGACTCATGGTTTTACAAAGAAAAAACATTTACTTGAACCAAAATATCACTGGCTTATTTATCATAAAGTCCACATGCAGGGATTTATAGCTCATTACGGTCCTTCCCCAACCTCAACAAAATGGTCTGACAGAGAATTAGCACTTTCACAGAATCTTCTCTCTTATTCTAACAGACCATGTTTTCTATGTGCAGCTATCAAAGAGCATCTCATTCCTCCAGCCAGAGGAAACGCCTATTTCTCCAGCAGGAATGCAGCTTATTCCCAGAGCTTATGTCTTGCTCCCTTGCTGGGCAATTTAGGATACTTGATTTAATCCCGAAATACCATAGATTTTGCACCATGCCTCCCATAAAAGACTCCTTATGTTAAAATGCACAGCGTTGGTGGGGTGCCTGGGTGACTCGGTTGGTTAAGCGTCCGACTTTAACTCCGGTCATGATCTCACGGTCCATGGGTTCAAGCCCCTCCTCAGTGTCAGGCTCTGTGCTGACAGCTCAGAGCCTGGAACCTGCTTCAGATTCTGTGTCTCCCTTTGTCCCTGCCCCTCCTCTGCTCTCACTCTGTCTCTCTCTGTCTCTCAAAAATGAATAAACGTTAAAAAAAAATTTTTTTTTTTAATGCACAGTGTTGGAGAGATTTCAATTCAACTAGAATGTTTGTATTAGAGAGTCATTCTTTTTAATGTTTAAAAGCCATTAATTTTAGACCTTCATGTTAAAATAGCATCACTGGGGTACCTGGCTGGCTCAGTGGGTACAGCATGTGACTCTTGATCTTGGGGTTCTGAGTTCAAACCCCACGTTGGGTGTGGAGCCTACTTAAAATTTTTAAAAATTTTAAATAAAATAGAATTACTGAAACATTTCTCCTTTCCTAATCCTGTTTAAAAATTTTATGGACTCTGGGGCGCCTGGGTGGCGCAGTCGGTTAAGCGTCCGACTTCAGCCAGGTCACGATCTCGCGGTCCGTGAGTTCGAGCCCCGCGTCGGGCTCTGGGCTGATGGCTCAGAGCCTGGAGCCTGTTTCCGATTCTGTGTCTCCCTCTCTCTCTGCCCCTC